CGAGGGGGACGGGCTCCTGTTGAGGGAGCGCCTGGCCGTGCTAGGCCTCGACGAGCCCAGCCCTGCGGAGCCCGGCGTCCCGGCGCTGCGGGCGGCGGCGGCGGTGCAGGGTCGGCGGACGGCGGGATTGCCACCGGAGGAGCGGGCTCCGCCCGGAAGGCCCGGAACCGCGGAGGAGGCCGAGCTGGAGCTGGAGGAGGAGGGGGAGGACACGGAGCTGGACGGAGACCTGCTGGAGGAGGAGGAGCTGGAGGAGGGCGAGGAGGAGGACCGACCGTCGCTGCTGCTGCTGTCGCCGCCCGCGGCCGCCACCTCCCAGACCCCGTCGACCCCGGGCGGGCCCCTGGGTTCGGTGCTTCTGCCCGCCGCCGGTTTCGATGCCCGGGAAGCGGCCGCGGCGGCGGGAGTGATCTACGGAGGGGACGATGCCCAGGGCATGATGGCGGCGATGCTGTCCCACGCCTACGGCCCCGGCGGTTGCGGGGCGGCGGCGGCCGCCCTGAACGGGGAGCAGGCAGCTTTGCTCCGGAGAAAGAGCGTCAACACTACCGAGTGCGTCCCGGTACCCAGCTCCGAGCACGTCGCCGAGATCGTCGGTCGCCAGGGTGAGTGCAGGGAGAGGAACCCAACTGGGCTTGGCCCCGGGCGTGGGTGGGGAGACCCGCGAAGTCCGCGGCCGCGAGTCTAGGAGGAGGCCCTGAGATGGGTCACCTTGCAAAACCCCAGCCTTTCCGCTGCTTTTGCATGATAAAAGGTGTTAAGTTTCTCAAGTCACCCAGTTCGGTGGGGTTCTGGGCTCAGGCCGTGTTCGTGGAACACTGAACTGGCGTGCCACCAGAAACCTCAGCGACGTGTTAAAAGGTCGGGTCGCAGAAGTTGTGGATTCGGTGTTGTGAACAGAAAGCTTCCAGATTGAAGTTCCTGCGACAGAGTTGTGTGAAACCTGGGCAAGAAGCGCTTGGCTTCCCTGACCCCGCTTACTCAGATGGGGAGAACTGGGCAGCTGTAGGGGCTTCTAGAAGGGGAGGGGACTGTGCAAGCGGTCGGTGGTAACCCCCACCCCGCCGCCGCCCCGCAGCTATTCAACAACATCGCTCTGCCGGAGCCGGCTGAGTTTATGGTGTTTGTTCAGATACATTTTAACTCTCTGGAAGGCACACTGGTTATTATCATTTAGGACACTTTCGGGTACACAATGAAGGAAAATTGGACAGTGAGGTAATTGAGTTAAGAAACTTTATGCATTTTTACAGTTTTGAGTCAATTCTCCAGTTGCCAGCACACCAGTACTGCAGACAGACTCCTCCCACATTGTTCAGACAAAGGACCTATGTCTCTGATTCCGGGAGTAGATTTGTGAAGGTGGGGGAAGGGGATGCCGGGAGTACCTCTACATCTGACATTTTTAGAGATGGATCTATATTCTTAAATGTAGCCCCTCTCCCCCCGCCCCGTTAAAGGTAAGTATCACCTGCTGCCTCCTGTGACAATATGATTTAGCCAGGTTAATGCTAGTCTGTGTGCTGTTGGGTGGAAAGCATTGTGGGGGTCAACGAGATGATGGTACGGCTGCTTAAATGATCTCATCTTTCCCAAGTGATCTGAAGTACACATTAATAAGAGGTCTGTCGAAATGGTGGTTTCAAATAGCAGAGTTGGCTCCATTCTTACCTCTAGGATTTTAATAAGAAAAACCCGTTTGAAATCTGGATAAAGAGAGTTTATTTCAGACTGTCTGATGATTTGGTACTTAAAGGCACTGGTCAAAGATGGTGCCATTCCATTGAAAAGGGAGTTTATTCCTGTAGTTTGGTAAATCAATTTCACATTCGTGTTGGTGTCCATTTGTTTTGATTCTAACTTTAAGGATAAAGTGTCCCTGGGTGGCACAAATGGTGAAGCCCCTCCCCTATTAGCTGAAAGACTGGCTGTTCAAACCCACCCACAAGGCACCTCAGAATTCATGTCAGGCAGTCTGCTCTCAAAAGACTCCATAAACCCGATGGAGCAGTTCTATCCTTTACATTTGGGGGTTGCAGTAAGTTGGAATCACAACAATAACAGAATAACTGTTTTACCTACTTAGGTTGAAATAATCACATCTCAGTTTGTAGGTCTCAAATGAGTTTCCTATTCATATGAGACCATCCACAGATAATTATGTGTCAAGCTGTGTTTTATCAAAGGTTATGAGTTTATGGTAGCCGGGAATGTGAGATTGATTCAGGCAAACTTTCAGTCTCTTAAAAAGCTAACCAGGGATATCTAGTTAATAGCACTAACAACAGTATTTGACTAAGAGAAAGTGGTGCTTATGAGAACATCGGACCTTGGAGGGCCTCAAAGATGGATTGAAACAGATTGAAAAAAGACCAAGGAGCAGTGAGAGGAAAGATATGGAGGAATGATCTCTGGATGTGATTGGCAAGCTGTTAGCATTTAGGATCTAAAAGGGAGTGGTGAAGAAGGGCTAGGAAGGTGTGGGTTCAAGCCAGGGTGTGAAAACCCCTTAATATCACATTAGTAGGTTGTTGCTTTTTCCATTGCTTCAGTGTGCTTTAGGTCTCAGTTTAAGGTAACAAATGAAAAGAACATTTACATGCCAGTGTACTGAGAGGTAAATTAATGTCTTGTAAATTTAGTTAAATGCAGAGTTTGTCGTTTACTTTGTTATAAACTTTTAAAACACTAGGAAATAGTCCTTTTTGCACAAACTGCTATCCTTAACAAACCCATTAGCTGGAAATCAGCTCAGTTCATTCTCAGCTTCTATTTTGTGTTGTTTATTGTTGTTCCAGCTCATAGCAGCCCTATATAGAGTTTCCTAGGAGCAGCTGGTAGGTTTGAACTGCCAACTTTGCAGTGCAGGGCTTATCCTACAGTGCCTTCTATTTTGTACTAGCTGTCAAGTGAAACAAAAGAGATGAAGTCTCAGTATTTTGCTTTTGTTTTTAGGACTCTGCTTAATTAGTTAATAAGAAAATTAATTTTATTTAATATGGTCATGCCTTAGGGCATGGAGACAAATTGCTGACAATTCCTTTTGCACTTAATATTTTCCCAGAGTTGACTGCGCTGCTAAATATTATCATTCTCTGAACCATTCAAGTGGCTCATTGACCCCTTTGCCATCTGTGAAATCTTATATTTTTTCACTTCTGTGGAGAACTAGGCAACTTCAGATGTTTGTTGCATCCTCTTTTGACAGTGGTAATTTCCCCATGGGAGAATACCTCTCGCATTTCTCTGAGTGAGTAAAACGGGGCAAATCACTTCATTTGCTTGTTTGATTTCAAGGAGCTCAACTTTTATCCTTAAAAATGATCCATTCTTGCCATTTTCTACATTACCTGAAGTAATAATTTTCTATTTGACATGTCTTAATTGGCTCTGGAAATACTTAAGTCACAGATGGAGACATTTATGACTTCAGCTCTGAAGCAGAGTAGGACAAATGGAATTCTGAGTCATATAGACTAACAACTCATGTAGATGGCCTCTGGTTCTGGTAACTTTCAGAAAAAGAAAACGAACCACTGCTTTGATAGTGCTGAAAGTTGACAGAGTGCTCCTCAGCAGCATGTGGTCATTTGTAGCTGTGCATCTCATTTTGAAACCCACAGTGCTGTATACAGTCACACGAGGAACTGAAGAGACTCACCAATATCTATGATGCTGTGGAATCTAGAAATCCAAAGTAAACCTGACAACAGGTTTAAGACCTAACTTTGTAAACTTAGAAACATTTTTTTAATGTTTAATGTTTCAGTGGATTTCGTTCCAACTTGTATAGTCATTGATCCCAAGTTAGAATAAAATTTGAGTGAAAGAATTCTGTAACCTAACTACATTATAAATAAATACTAAAAGGTCTTAAATTCAGTTGCTATAAAGACTGATAACCCAAGATTTTGTGTTACTGTTTAATATTAATAGGCATCTTCAAACACTTTTCATAAGTTACTTTTAAGTGGTGGAACAAAAAAGAATTTTGGGGTACTGAGAAAATTAGTATTCTAATAATTTAATAGACTGAAAATTCACTATTTTTGTAGTTTAGAGAGCTAATTTGTATCTATATACACTGGTGGTGGTGGGGGTGTGCCGTAGGGTCGGTTCTAACTCATAGCGGCCTTGTATAGGGTTTCCAAGGCTATAAATCTTTATGGGAGCATAAAGCCGCATCTTTCTTCTGCGGAATGGCTGGTAGTTTCAAACTGCTGACCTTGAGGTTAGCAGCCCTACTCATAACCACTATCCTACACTTGTTGTTGTTATGTACCATGGAGTCGGTTCCGACTCATAGCAACCCTGTACAGGGTTTCCGAGGCTGTAAATCTTTACGTGAACAGAAAGCCTTGTGTTTCTCACGTGGAACAGCTGGTAGTTTCGAACTGCTGACCTTGTGGTTCACAGCCCGATTCATAACCACTACGCTACCAGAGCTCCTATACTAGCCTTGAAAATTAAAATACAGCTTTTTTAGGCTTTAAATTTAATTGATAATAATTTGTACATACAAGTATATGCCGATAAGCATCTGTTCCTTGACTGCATATAGATGATTCCATAAGGTTTTGGTTTGTTACGGGGGTTTTTTGTTTCTAAAGAAAAGCGGTGCCTTTTGTTTATTATTTTCCCCTAGTGGTTTCAAAGACCCCAAGCCCAGACTTCTACAGCACTAGACCACAGGTGGGAGGGATGTAAACAGGTGAGGGGAGAGGACAGGATTCCATTCTTCTCACGCTACTCCTGCTGTATCCTGATAACAGCCACCACTAGGCCTCTTAGCAGCAGCAACAAGGACAGCTAGAACTGGACGCTCCCATAAGGTTTTAATATGGTGTTCACACAGTGTCCGATTCACATAACATCCTACTCTTGTACTTTAACCAAGCCTACCTGTATTCTCTTTGGGTCCATTGAGAAAGGTTCAATTACTAGAATTGTTTTGCAAATGGATGGGGATAATCTACTGCTTTTTCTTCCTGCCTTATTCAGCTAATGAACTATTCTGTTTCCCTGGGAGGAAATGGGAAATAAAAGCTGTGGCATTTCAAGGGTGTTTTTTTCTACCCCCTGGCTACCAGCAACCTAGATAAAATGATCCAGGGAGCCAAGTGTTTGGGAATTGTTAGTCTTACAGATTTTTGCCTAGGAAAATCTTAAAAGCTGATGTTTATAAGTTGGAATTCTAGGTATTTCTTTGATACATCTCAAGTTTTCATAAAAATGTCATTAATCAGAAATGGAAGTTCCTGAATCGATTGTTCTTCACTACTTTTTATGATTTTACATAAACCACTTAAACTCTAGGGTTCTGATTCCTCTTCTAGCAGTTGGGTGTAATCACGTCTGTAATACTGCTAAAGACTACAAAAGACAAATAGTTGTATATGAGACTAAATTAAGATGTATATATTACTTTTTTGAAGTTAGATCTGAAATTAATTTGTTGTTGTTATGTGCTGTGGAATCAGTTCCAACTCATAGTGACCCTTGAACAGGGTTTCCGAGACTGTAAATCTTTACAGGTGCAAAAAGCCTCATCTTTCTCCCGCAGAACAGCTGGTAGTTTCAAACTGCTGACCTTGCGGTTTGCAGC